AAAAAAAAAAAAAAAAAAAAAAAAAAAAAAAAAAAAAAAAAAAAAATCTAGGCATGGTGCCTTCTGTTCACAATCATTTATTCCTTTTCTAGACAGGTTTTCTCTGTGTAGCTGTGGCTGTGGACCAGGCTGGCCTCAAACTAAGAGAACTGCCTGCCTCTGCCTCCCAAGTACTGGGATAAAAGGCGTGCACGTCCACCACCCAGCACTCATTTTCTTAACTCTTATGTAGCTACAGAAACACAAAAGTTGATTTGTTTGAAGCTGCTGACTACTTTGTGGTCACATAAAGTCTTGTGGTATAATCAAGGTGGCGCTTATGGATTCAGGCAGCATCTGAGTTTGAATCCCCATACTAAAACGTAAGAGCTATGACTTGAAGTTCCGTCAACTTTACATTTGATTCTTTACATTATCTGTAGAACAATGTTAATGGTGTCTACTTCACAAGTTGAGAGAATACTAATGAACAGATGTATGGAAAGGGCTTAGAAATATTGGGCTCATAGACATTACCACAGAAAGTCTCCACTTACTTTGTAGGTAAGTGATATTTTGTCATGCCAAACACTTAAGCCTTTTCTGTTCAGAGAACTATTTTTCTGCCTGTGGCAGTTTGATTGAGAATGGTTGCCATAGGCTCATATATTTGAATGCTTGGTTCACAATTGAAGGATTAGTGCTGGGGTCTAGTTGGAGACTGATCACTGTGAGTGGGCTGATGTTTAAAATGCTTACACCAGGCCCAATCTCAATCATAGCCTTCCCTCACCCCAACTCCTCCTTCCTGAGGATCAGGATATAAGATCTCAATTACTGCTTCAGCACCATTCCTTGCCTGCCACCAAGGTTCCCATAACCCTCTCTCCCAAGTAAATGCTTTCTTCTATGAAGTTGCCTCAGTCATGGTCATGGCCCACACTCAGCCCTGGTATCAAAGTTAGTATCTTGGCTTAGTGTTGTGAGATATCCACCAGAGAAAACTACAGGACATGGGTTTATTCCAATAGGTCTTTATTAGCTGATTGGAGGCAACTCCCTGAGCCTTTCTCAGGGTGAGCTTTTAAGCACAAAAATTACACTCTGAGTTGACACACCTCAGTTAGGAATAAAAGTCAGCCAGAAGCAGAAGTAATGAAGCCAAAAGCAAGGGAGTATTTAGACTTTCCCAGATAAATGGACTTCGATGGATTACATCTTTGTTCTTGTTTTGGTGGGTGGGGCTGCCTGTGTGCTGGGTTCCAAGGCTTAAATGGCACTTCTGTCATGGTACCAGTTGTGCTACAGTCTGGGGCCTGTTACAACAGTGGGGAACTATAATAATCCAATGCATGTACTTCATTCCTTTGACCAGCAAGTTGGTTTATGATCTGGGATGAGGCTGATGTGGCTGGGACCCCACTCTATGACAGCCACAGTCTAGAAGAAACAGCTTAATAAATGCTTGAACTTCCAACTAGGTTCACAAAACCCAACACTGGATGGCAGGAATTTATGGTCTATCTACATATAGGTAGATCAGTTAAAGCCAAAAGTGCAGGTTTACCCCAAATAGAGTTTGCTCACTACAGTCTGTTAAAATAGTTTTATTGTGGTTTCACTTTCTCCAGTATTGATCATCCATGGTCAACCACACTCTAAAAACAGCAAATGGAAGATGAAAAGTTTACGTCTTTAAACTGCACACTATTGTTGAGTAGTGGAATGGGACAAAACATAGTATCACCATGAAATATCAAGTGAACCATTCTTGTTCAGCATGTGCAGACTGGAAATGATACCACTAGTCAACTGATAGCCATCTTAGATAGCATCAATATTAGAGTACTTCAGTGCTTGTGTTCAAGTAAGCTTTAATAATAATTTGCCACTATTACACCTGTGAGGAAGAAGCCATTTTACTTCCATCATTATAAATGCATACTGAAGAGACAGTCACCAAGACTGCTCCACAAGGAAAACCAATCAAGTTTATTAGCACGTGCAGTGCATACTGTACAGGAGAACCCCAACAGAAGAGAACTGGAAACAGCAGCTTAGAACTCAGATCTACAAACATCTTCAACAGAAAACAGTAGGATTTTACAGATACAAAACAGACAGCAGGTTTGGCTTTTGGCTTCCACAAATGGGAATTATGGAAAATGAATTTACAGAAATAAACTAATGAAGCAAGATTTATCAACTCCTCTGGTGCCACATCTGACATGGTAAGAGATCTCATTAGCAACTAACTTCTGTGTTTCTTTGTGGGTATGGGGCGAGACATGTTTATAATTTTTAGGTCCCATGTTTAGGCAAATTGGGGCAGGACTCAAGACTTTTTCTAACTCTGCTTCTGCTTAACTCTTTAGCTCAAAAATGTTATGCCAAAGAGGAATGTTTCCGTCATATCACACAAAAACACTGAAGAATGACAGAGGGGCAAGAGATGAGAATTCCTACTATTTCTGCATCAATTATAGACCGTAGCTATAAAAGCTTTCCGCACATTGGCAAGAAACGCAGAAAAATTGTTGGTCTTCCTGACCTTCTCCTGAAATTCAGCGAGGCACTCAAGATGAGGTGAACAGTCGGACACTAGAGGAAAAACAAGATAATTTAAATGAAGGGTTTTGTGTGTGCTTGTGCAGAAGTGTTCCCACTTAAGCACTCAGCTGGGTCAATGACATTATACTTTACTGAAATGCTCTGAGCATGAACGAATATACTTGAATTTCACAGTTATCCTCTAGCCCTTTCCTTTGCTTAATCCTTAAATATTCAAATTGTTAAGTACTATAGTCCTACTTTAAATCTGAACAGATTATCCAAAGCACTGGGAGATGAGTGACAGAGTGCTATTTCCATCATCTTTCCTACATACATTTTGTTTTAACTATAAAAGTCACTTTCTGTGCAAAACTTCAGTTGACACCTAGTTTATTGCCACGATATGAAAAAAGGCAAAACTTTCAATGCTAATTCTTTCTGAGACAGGGTCTCACTATGTAGGTCTAGCTGGCTTGGGACTCTTTATGTAGACCAGACTAGTTTAAACTCACAGAGATCCATCTGCTTCTGCCTCTTAGATGCTGGGATGGAAGGCAAGAACCACCATCCTGGCCTCAATGCTAGTTCTTAATAATTTATGATTTTGGAATAAAGTATCCAAGATTTTACAAGTGCAACGGAAGTCAGTGGAAAACGTGGTTACTATTCCCAGACTGGTACTTACAAAGTCCACTAATTAAGTGAGCCAAAAGTCACAAGTTACAGTAGTCCTCGTGACAGCTGCACATGGTGGTACAACTGAACAATCTTCCATGAAGAGTTGCCAAAAGAATGATCCAGCTCTTTCTAGCATCAATAACCTCCTTTGTTCAGGAGGAAGAGCTAGACCGTAACAGCCTCCTGGCTCTGGCAGAGATTGCTTGGACAGGACCACAACAGAGAAATAGCAGAGTACCTGGTTTAAAATTTATTCTGCATTATTTTAATAGAATATCAAACACTATAAGTGTCTTTAAGTTTTCTTTCCTGTTGCTATGATACTCTGACAAAAGCAACTGAAGAGAGAAAAGCCTTATTCTGGCTTGCAGTTCAAAAGTCCATCCAGCATAGTGGTGAAGTCAAGGCAGGAAAAGCATGATCAGGCCATGAAACGCAATGCATGCATGCTTCTGACTAGCTCCCCCTCTACTTACACAGTCCAGGATCCCAGCCCAGAAACAGCATCACTAACTGTAAGGTCTTCCTGCCTCGATTAACAGTCAAGATAATTACTCACAGCGTTCAAGTGACTTTCGATGTTGTCAAGGTGACAATTAACACTAAACCATTACAAACAGAGGCTTACCAATATTATACAATTTACAAAAAACTGAAAAACTAGGTAAGAGGTTTTGGGATTTGCTTTTTAATATCGAGTACTCAGCTGACTGAAACATAATTACTGAAGAGAAGATCATCAAATATTTTGTAGATGGTGATTCTCAAAATCTGAATAGGAAGACAGTAAATTACCAGGGCCTTAGAGAGCCAATCAGCATCCAGAGCATCTATCTGCCAGCTATAAATGCTTTAAAATGATATCACAGGTATAATGATTCGAGAATCATTTTATGAACTCTAACAACCAGTTTATTTTTATAATGGATTAGAAGAATTAAAGAGGTACTAACATACTTTTACTAGCCTAGTGTTCACATTGCTAGCAATCACATACATTCCCTATAAATTAAAGGCTCTCTGACCTGCTGCAAAACCAGTAAGTAATTTGCATTGTGAATGTGTGGGACATTTCAGGATGAAAAGCTTAAAAAATACTTGAAGGAAAGTAAATTACCACATTTTGAGTATTTTCCACAAAGTGACAATGACTAAACTATTCATATTACTATTCACAGTTTAGCTTTAAGTTCTCTGAAAGGGTAATCAAAGTTGCACGTAAAATACAATAAACTTAAAAAAAAAAATACAATGAACTTTAGTTTCAGAGTTTCCAGGCCCCATGATGCTGTCATCCTAAATACATGTACACAGCAAAACTACACTCACACCCTTTAGAGGCGGTGCCTCAAGAAGCAATACTAAAAAGGAAACAATTTGTACAAACATCACTTTCCTGATTTTATGAGTCAAATGATAGCTGAGGACATTGATCCTAAACACAAGAGAAAGGGATACATACCTTCATATTCCCTAGCCTCATTTAGGCTCAGGGAAAACATATATGGGCTCTCCGGATTCTTGGGGTCAATACTAGTGAATATAAACTGCAATTTATCACCTGAAGAAAGAAATCATAAACCATTTAATAGGAGAATACTTAGAAGCTAAAGCCTCAGTGGAGATCTTTCACACAAACACATATACTCACTCACGTACATACACACACACACACTCACACGCCCCCCCCAGTCCTGTCTCTGGTAAGTATATGCCTGGCTGTGTATCCATTTAGCCAGTACCTCTAAACACATAAGTTACAGATCAGTGTAAATGACATTTAAAATAGTCAACAAAGGAAGAACAATGACCCGGACATCAACAACATTAAACTTTTTCTTCAAAAGATATTACCAAGAAAATGAAGACATCTCATAAAAGGAGAGAAATTATTTATAAATCAAACACTAAAGCTTGAAAGTGTAAAATATACTTTTAAAACTACAACTGGAAAACACAAAAGCGGAGATTTAAGCAAGTCAGTGCATGCTGATGTTCAAAAAAAGTAATATTCCCAGTCACCAGAAGTGGAAACAAATCAGTGTCAGCCCCTCAAGAGATGAAGAGTTAAATGCAACATTGTACACATACACACTATACACATATGTACATACATTCACACATGCAAACACTGCCCAGAAATAAAAAGGAATGAACCTCTCATACGTAACTACAGTATGGGCAAACCTTGGAAGGATGTGAGGATGCAAAAGAACAAATATTACATGATTCTACTATATAAAATAGCTAGAACAGATAACATAAACTCACAAAAACAAAAAAATAAATTCAAGGTTACTGAGAGCTTAAAGGAAAAAAAGCACGATGGTGAATTTTTACAGAATTTCTGTTTGGGGGTGATAATAAAATATAGAAATCTACAGTGGTTAATGATGGTCATACAACACTATAGATATAATTAATGTCATAAATTATACACTTTAAAATGGTTAAAACAGCTAAGTTTTATATTGTATGTATTTTATTACAATAAACCCATATTGTTAAATGATTTCATTTTATATTTTTCTAGTTACTTTATTTTCCAAAAAAAACTTGAAATGCTTCCAAAGAAATAAAAGTGTAAATTAAACAAACAGAAATGAATGAATGAATGAATGAATGAATGAATGAATGAATGAATGCCAGGTAGAAATTCAAAATTCAAGTTGGCTGCCACAAAGTATAAATTCTCACACACTTTAGTTTCTTCTACAGCATAAAAATGTAAGCAGTCATATTTAAAATTCTATTGAAAAAATCTTCAGAAACTCAGGAAAGACTTGTCTTGCATCCCAGTTCAAAGTGAAGTAACTGTCAGCACACCACCCTTCTGACTGTTAGTAGTCTGGGAAGGGTGTGCAGGCCAAGGGAAGATTGGTAATAGACTCAGTTAAGCAAAATGAAGGGTTTACTTTGGGGTTTTTCTCTTCCCCTGAAGGGCAGAGGGCACTCACTCCCCTTACTCACCAGCCGGCAAAGAGTACCTTTGTGTGTGGGTTCTCCTGCCGGGCAGCAAGCAATCTATCAGTTCTGCAGCAGACTCGAGCCTGTCCCCTTCTATCTATTTCAGTGGCTCAACTGATCCGCTTAAGCAATTCTCACCAGTCAGGAAAACACTATGTTTGGAGGTTTATGATAAAGGATGCTACTTGGTTCCACACACACATTGTACCCTTCCTACCATCGTAAATACATAACATTAACAAATCACAGCTAACAGGGGAGGGTGGTGAGAGGTGACTCAGCAGATAAGGGAACTTGCCACTAAGCCTGATGACCTTCCCAGTACACACACAATGGAAGAAACATCTACACTGTTCTCTCTCACACACACACAATAAATGATTTTAAAATGCAATAAACATAAAAATTGGGGAAAATAAACATAGGATTCATTACTAACTGTTTCAGGTACCCACTGAATGTCTTTAAATATATTCCCCATGAATTAAGGAAAACAAGTACATACACTAAGTCTTCTCGGTGGCTCACCAAGCCTGAGGGTGATATTGGGAAGCCCCAAAACACTATCCTTAATAACCAATTAACATATATATATATAATAACTATGCAAATATTCACATGCTTTTTAACCTAGTAATCCTCCCCTGAGAAAGGATCCTCCCAAGTGAGAAATTACATGCAGTAATTCTAAAGCTAAAAAGCAGATACAATCCAGTTGCTCTTAGCAATCCAATTGATAAAAGATGGAGTAAATCATACTACACTAATAGAATGAGTAATTACACCAGCATTCATGAATGACCATTCTTAAGGCTACTAGAGATGATACAAATGCTAGTGAAAACCAAGAACAGAAAGTATTTGCATTTTTTTTTTTACAACCACATCAAACTACTTTCATTGGAATACTGGACAAAGCAACAATACTCATATTTACATGATTAAAAGGACAGGGCATTAGTCTATTTTCTAAAAACCCAGTAAACTTTAGTTGAAAATACCTTAGATTCTTCTCTTATCTGGATACGACCTTTCTAGCCTTCTACATGCCAGTTAGAGCAATAAACGTACCATGAATTTTTCTGATTTCTAGTCCAAGGCGATCTCTGTATAAGTCTGCTGATTTCTGCAGCCGTTTCAATCTCTCTTCATTAGCTTTGTTAGCAGTGGAAATAGCTACGATTTAAAAACAGTGTTGAATATTTGGGTAATTCTCAGTTTAAGGCCTATTAATTAATTTTAGCAAACTTGAAAAGTACTAAAAATGTATGCCAAGCATATCAATCTGCTTTATATTTATTTGATTTCTAACTCTAACAAATAACAAAAGGGGTTTCTGTTCAAAGTGAAAAAAAAAAATCTTCAGATACAGATAATCAAGCCAGGGATCTGTATAACTAGCCAAGAAATAGATTTCATATTATTATTATTATTATTATATTAATTATTATTACTGTTTGCTGGCTAGACAAATATACACTAATTGTGTCATAGGAAAAACACTTTAGCCCTTGAGGCATAACTGCTTCCCATGAGAAATCAGCCTTATTTCATGCTCGTTTACACTTGTTTTAAAGCTAACTAATAATCTTAACTAACACACGGCAGATGAGAAGAAGCTAAGTTCACAAGTCAGTCTTGGATACGAACTCTGTAAGAAAAAGCATTAACCAAAAAAAAAAAACTGCTATTTTCAAGAGATCTGAAGAGGTTATTAGTTTGTGGGCAGTAAGTCTTTCTAAACAAAGCATTCCTTTGGATCAAAGTTTTTATAGAAGGCCTTTGTAGCATGAGACTGTTTCTAAAGCAAAGATTAAGAGTCGCTTTTTATCTTCTGACCTCACACCACACACACACACACACACACACACACACACACACACACACACACGTGTTCTTTTACCCCCTACTACCCCCTCTCATCCCATTTCTTTCTCCTCCTGAAGCCCTGCTTCTTCCCAACAGGGGCTGTCCCCTCTCCCACTTTCACGCCCTGTGTGTGTGACTCCTTGAGTTTAACTAGTTTCCTGCAGGATCAAGGGTGTGCACTTATTTGTTGGGACATGGCAACTTAGTATCAGCAGTTACACCACTGAAGATAGGAACACGTGTCCCTCCCCCTCCCCAAGCCAACACCGTCAACAGTCTTTGAGGGGTGGGTATCATGGGCCTTCCTTCCTATCTTGTGCTGAATGGCTCAAATTTATGCGGGTAGCCCCAGCTGCTGAAGGTTCATGAGCACAGTCACCATGTCACTTCCAAAAGACACTGTTTCACAGCACTCCTCCCCAAGCTCTGGCTCTTAAATCACTCTTCGGTGATGTTCCCTGAGCCTTGGCAGGAGGAGGGTGTGAGATAGACGTCCCTTTTAAAGGTGAGCACTTTCACCAGCTGTGTGTCTGTGCCAACTGCCTGGCAGAGATTTTATGGTCAATAAATGTTTTTTAAGTCCTTAAAAGGATTCTTACACAGTTATGGCATTGTGATGCATGCCTGTGATCCCAGCACTCAGGAAGCAGAAGCAGGAAAACTCCAAGTTCAGAGGCATCCATAGTTACAAGCCTGAGACCAGCCCAGGCTACATGAGACTACTAAAAGATTTTGTTAAGTTCAGTTACAACCAGAATAATAATGGGTCTGATTGTAACTGAAATCAGCCTTTTTTTTTTTTTTTTTTTTTTCTTTTCAAGACAGGGTTTCTCTGTGGAATAGCTGTCCTGGCACTCATTTTGTAGACCAAGCCGTCCTCAAACTCACAGAGATTTGCCTGCCTCTGCCTCCCAAGTGCTGGGATTAAAGGTGTATGCCAACACACCCAGCTCTAGACAAAATTTTGTAAGCAAAACAATAACCACAAAAAAGCAAGCAAGCCCACTTGGCTGACTTACGTGACACCTAGCAGAGATGCTGGTCTGGCTATGCCATAAAATAGAGCCAGCAAGATGCACAAAACTATGAACTATCATGCCTTTGAAATTCAGTAGACTATTTTAAACAAAACCAGAAACTTACTCTCCTTTTTCTTGGAATATTCTTCCTTGAGATCCTGGATGTTGGCTGTCAGCATTTCCAATTCTTGATTTTTGTCTTTTACTTCAGCAATCACCTTTAACAGGTTATCTTTCTTTTCTTGAATGAGCTTATTCTGCCTACAAAGTTCTGTAAGAAACACACAGCATTAAATACATATGCCTTACTATCTGACATGTCAACGTCCCTAAGATTAATAAAATTGTTTTTGTGCTTTGTTTTGAAGACAGGCTGTAAGCCCAGGCTGGCCTCAAACTCACAATTCTTTGGCCTCTATGACTGATAAACATATTCTAATGACTCAAAAATCATAAACGTAAGAGGGAATCTGCTTCATTAATCGTCTCTAAAATAAAAGCCGCTTTTAAAATTAAAAACAACAACAACAACAAAAAAAAAAACAGGTTAATTCACACAACAGGAACTCAGAGGATCATGATCCCTGCAGTTCCAAATAAGTAAAGCCCACCATGGAAGATAGTCCAACTCTACAAGAGAGCTTTTCACAGTGCTCTGAAGAGAGCTATTTTTGATGCTTCATAAGCTTTTCTGGGATGCATTAAAGACAGAAAAAAAATGGTGATAAGACTGGCAAATCTTACAAAGTTAGCATAATTCTGAAACTAAAACACAGTAGACATTACCATATCTCCACCCACTACTTTTATTTAAAAATATGGTGACAGGATCAATGAGATGACTCAGTAGGTAAAGGTGCTTGCTGCAAACGCTGATGACTTGAGTTCAAGCCCACATGGTAGAAAAGGAACCAATTCCTAAAATTGTCCTTTGACCTCTGATATGTACCATGGTATATAAATACGTGTAGGTGGGGAGGGGAGGAAACGTGATGTGAGAAAAGTTGGGTTGGGAGATGAATATGACCAAAACACGCATTATGCAAAACTCTCAAAGAAATAAAAAAAAAAAAAGAAATTCCAGGCGCCTCAAAAGATGGTTTAGGGGTTAAGAGCACCTGGTGCTCTTGCAGAGGACCCAGGTTCAGTTCCCAGCACCTACACGGAGGCTACCAACCATTTGTAACTCTATTTCCAGGGGATCTAATGACCTCTGGATATACATATTACACATAGATACATGCAGCAAATATACTCATACACATAAAAAAAACAAAAAAATCTCTAAAAATTCCACTAAAAGCAAATATGGTTAGATACAATGTAGATAAAAGACTGGGAAATTTTATTATGAATCAGCACTAGGGGAACATTATATAAAATTAGTACTCACTCTCCATACTGAACTTTATGGTAGTGGGGATTAAACCCAGCCTTCACATATGTGAACCAAACACTACCATACCATCAAGTACACCTCCCAGCACTTTAAAATTTTATCCTGTGATGAGGATCTTTCTGAGTTGCTCAAATTGGCCTTGAACTTTTGATGTTCCTGTCACAGCCTTCCAAGTAGTATGCGCCTCTGTGCCAGCTGTTACCATTTCTTAAACTAGATGCAAGGGTGTCCTGTCTTTTTAAAACGACAGATACAAAGTACAATCTATAACGAGGTAATCCCCATCAAGAATGCAGGCTGTAGGGAAAACATAAATTTGCCTGAAATGCACAGCTGAGTTGGGTTCTGGGGACACTGTGTTCTTCTAAATTCTGCTAAGGTGTCACTACTTCCCAGAGTCTAGACATTGCTACAGACCCAGAGGAAGCAGGGAGGAACACCTGACAGTCAGTCTAACAAGAATAAAGAGCACAGCCTCCTGACAACACAAGGGTGAGAATAGCGAGGCAACAAGAACTGCCCTGTAAGATACAGTGCTCCCACTTGACCCCAGTGAAGCACTGAAGAACCGACACATGCAGAAAGCTGAGGCTACAGGACTGGGAGGGAACGCCCCAAGCATCAGGCCAGCCTAAGCTATAAACAAACGGATGCCTATCTCAATCAACCAAAACAACAAAGCAAGGCCTCTCACAGAAAACGTAAGAGCACCTATGCGACTTAGAGTTGTGAGGACTGAGTCAAAATGTACAAGCAGCTTGGACTGTGGAAATAAGGATTAGTTATTAGATATTCTGCAACTCATGGAATCAATCCCAGAGTCTATACCCACATGGCACGCATACCATTTCTTATAAGTAGTACAATATATTTTAACTATTGTTTCCCTGTCTTCATCTCCATTAAACTATAAGATTATAACTTATGTATTGTTTCCTTAATCAAGGGCAATCAAATAGTCATTGAACTTAGGTAAACTGTTATTTCTGTTCAACTATTGTGTGTGTGTGCATGCCTGTGTGTTTTGCAAGGGTATTAAAACATGGTGCCTCTGACCAAATGTCACTGTGTAAGTTCAACCCATGACTCTGGGTTTGTGGCTTATGTGTGAGAATTCAACAAAAGATACAGACCCAGTATTGAAATATGTGGAGAGCTCTAGAAATGAGGAAAAAAAATGGTGGTAAAACATTATCATTATTTATTAGATTACTAGATTATTAACAAGACCCCAAATTCCTGAGAAACTCCAGGTTCCTTGGCTAGGATTTCCAGTGTGAAAACAAACTTATTTTTAAAAAGGCTTGCCTTTACACATAAATATACACTATTTAATTAAAAAGAGAGGATACATTATAACATGATGATACTGACAGAGCATTTAAAAAATACTGAAAAATATTCATAGTTCTAGAAGGTATAAGGACATTCAACTTTCAGCTGGTGAAAGTAACAGCATTTTGATGAATGTATGTGTATGTGTGACTATATGAAGATCACTACACTGTCTTAATATTTCAGGATAAAGACATCATATTTCAAAACTGAGCTACAGTTTTTCACATACGATTTTTATATTCCAGAAACATCTCAAGCATTCTTTCTTCTTCCTTTAATTTCAGAGACAGCTTTTCTGAAAGACAAATAGCAAGAGAAACTTCAGTCCCGCCGAAATAACAGTAGAAAGTAAACAAGAACAGCAAAATCTGCAAGTGAGGAGTTAAGGGCAGTACCTGAAAGGGCCCTAAGGGAGTCCTTGAAGGCATCTCTCAGCCCCAGCACCTGACTCCGATTGTCACTCAGGCGGTTTCTGAACTTATCCCCAAACTCATTTATGCTTTTATCGAAGGCTGCCAGTTCATCTTCGATCATTGTCTAACACGCTGCAAAACAGAGCACACATACTATCTTTTAATTGTTATTGACACCAAATAAGCCACATGTTCTAATCCAGCATGTGTCCTAAATTTGCCTTTGCTACAGAATGGTTAATATGTCAGCAATTCAGACGGCATGAAGGCAGACTTTAAAATTCCAGCATTTGGAAGCTGGGAGCAGGAGAGTCTGAGGCAGTCTCAGCCAGTCATGACCAGCCTGAAATACAAGAGACCTTTCGTAAATAAATTAAAAACAACAGGGGGCGTGGCTGTGCACGCCTTTAGTCCCAGCACAGGGGAGGAAGAGAAAGGAAGGTATCTGTGAGTTCAAGGAATGCCTGGTCAACATAGGGCCAGGCCAGAAACTAATAAAAGAAATAAAATAACCCATCAACAGTCCGGTAGTTAGCAACAGGATAATTCGAGCCACTTTGGCTTCACCCTGGCGCAAGTGCATCAATCAATAGCACGAAGGGAGGTGGGCGCGGGAAAGCAGGATGTTTTCAAAAATATGTTGTATGAAACTTCCAAATCATGTTTTAACGGGACCCTGGTGTCGGCCAGCTTCTCCTTCTAAGGACCTGCGCGACCTGGGAGACGGACCCCGGCCGCCTGCTCGGTCCGCTCTTCCCGCGGCGGGCGGGGAGGGGGCGGGGAGGGAGCACGGACCGGAACCCGAACCCCGCGGCTAACAGCGGTGGCCGGCGTTCCAGGCGCCGCGGGCCCTCGCCGGCTTCCCTCGGCGAGCGCGGGCCACCGGCAACCCCACAGCCCTTCCAAAGGCTCCCCGACCTCGGCGTCCAGGAACGCCGCCGCCGTCTTCACCAGACCCGGTGCGTCCGGCAGGAACCGGCCACAGCGCTCCAAGGTCCGCCGCTCCGCAGCCGCGCCGACTTTCGATTTCAAACTCTGGGCCGCCGACTACCCGCCAGTCTGCTCGTCTTCTGATTGGCTGACATTGCAGGCTCTCCGTGCAAGGATTGGTTGATATCGGCCGGCGGAATTCTCGCGGACAAGTGTGCAGCGGGGCATTCTGGGATCGGTAGTTCTTTGCTGAGACAGAGTCGGACTGGGTCTGTAGTGAGATGGCGAGAAAGACTTGCCCCAGAATGAAGAAAAATGTGAAAATTGAAATTTAACTGCATTTGTTTATGAACTATATACCATCTTCCTCGTACTCGTTTTATTTTGTAAATGAGAGAAAATACGCCTGAACTGACTTCAGTTATGACTGATTTAGGCAGAAACATCCTGAAAGTGACCAGACTACCCAAACTTATTGTTTGAATCTCCCAAGCGTCGCTAACCTTGATTTATCTCAAGTATTTTACTTATTTAATTTCTGTGTTGTTCCGTGTTTACAGAAAAGGGCATCAGATCCTCTGAAACAATTGTGAGCTATTCAATTCCTCTCCCTGAGCAGCAGGTGCTCTCGAACCAACAATGTGCTCCTGAGTCTTGCAGAACTTCAAACTGAAGAGTACCAAAGTAACTCTTGTCCCTGAAGATCGACAGGAAAGAGACACCAAGCTATTTTAAAACACATAATTTAAAAATTAATAATAATAAAGATTTTAAACTAAGACTTGTTGGAAGCAAACAAGCAGCGTGCAAGCAAACACAGATGAAGCAGACGCTACTTGCATTCTTCTTTGTAAACCTTAGAAAAAATAGGCAACTGTGAATATGCCCTCTAAAGAACGGGAAATAGATATGGTCAGTATTGAAAGATCAACTTATTGTTATTTTCAACTTTAATTTTGAAAATATTTCTGAAAATAGCCCTCTGCGTGTAGACCAAAGGTCTTCACCACACTTCTGTTTCCTTTGATTGCCTTTAAGCATCCAAACACCAACTCTAAGATTATGCTACCAGATTTTGGCCATTTTTTATCCCCAAGAACTAAAAATCAAGACGTACAAAATCAGGGCAATTTATTGTCATCATTATCGTCATCACGATTTAGCACATCACAGTTGTTCAGGGTGACCTCGAACCCGTAATCCTCATGCCTCAGCCTCCAGAGTAGCCCAAGCTTTTGGTCTTGATCTCTGTTCTTTGGTTGCCAGCCTCCTGGGTGCTTGAGATTTGTGTGTGGACACCATTACACCTAGCCACAACCGCTGAGTTTTTGTCTAGGCTCCTTTTTAACTGAGGTATGAGAAAGAAATTGCTATAGTTTGTCAATTTCTTTAATATCTGAAACACTGACAAGAGGAAAATATTGCCATCCCCCTACCCTGCTGCTCATCACAGAGAATAGCTTCCCGAGTCTACAAAAGGAGAAAGCAGAGCTTTTCTGTCACCACCCACGAACAGTCATCGTCTTTATCACGATATTTATATGCCATTCATTTCAGTCCAAGCAGGATTTATTGTGGCTCTATTAAGTTGTGTGTTGAACTGAGCACTGCCTTCTCTGGAATATATATGGTCCGTGACCCAGGTTGGGTTTTTTCAGGGTGTGAGGAAAAAGATATCATGTCTTCCAGTCTGGAGGTGTTTCTAAGGAGCAGTTTGAAGGAGCCTTTCTCAGTAAACGAGTCAGGGTTCTCCAGAGGAATAGAGCCACCAGAGAGAAATACAACCATGAAAGTGGACTTATTACCAGGCATCATGTCACATGCCTGTAATCTAGCACTTAAGAGGCAAAGGCAAGGAGATCTTTGTGAGTTCAAGTCCAGCCTGGCCTCCATAATGAGTTCCACGTTACCCAGTGCTACATAGACCCTATCTCAGCATATGCACACAGGCGCATGCTTGTGTGTGAGCACACATACACAGACACATATATACACGTGCGCAATTTCACTAGACTCATCTTCTGTGTTAAAAAATAAATAAAACGAAGGATTTTCTGAGCCCTCTAGCATGGCAATTTGATGAAGTCATTAAGCATTCTCTCTTACAAAAGAAATATTGAAAGTTATAAAAATAACGTTATTTTAGGCCCTGGAAATTGTTTGAAAGTCTCACAGCAAACTTTATTCTTGGAAAGGAGTTGGTCCTTCCTAAAAAATATTATGCTACATGAAATCAGCTAGATGCAAAGGAATATGTAGCATGTGGTCCTGTTTATAGGATATTATCAGAAAATGAAGATCCACATGGAGGACAGTTGGGTGGTTGTGAGGGACCAGCAATGGCAGCTACTGACTGTCAAAGGACACACAGGGGCCTTCTAGGTAACAGAAATGCTCTAAAACTGGGTTAAGTAATTGATTACAACTCTGTAAATTTACTACACACCATGAATTTTGTGTGTGTAAAACAATTACACTCGTGAGTTACTCGACAAAGTTGTAGAACTTCAAAAAAAAAAACAAACAAAATAAAATAAAAAAGGATGAAAACTATCAGAGCATCAAAGTGGGGAAAGATAGGACCCTTCTCAATACTCAGAAAAATGCTCAATGCGAAAAGACAAATACTCAGATTTTGGAAATTGTGGTAAAATACATACAACATTTTATTTACAACCTTAATCATTTTTAAGCATAGCACTGATACTGCATAACACTATTGTGCCGCCACTCCCATTATTCACACTTACAACTGTTTTCACCTGCAAAACTCAAACTTGGTGTCCACTGAACAATAAATGCTATTCTCCCTCCCCTGGATGCTGGCAGCCTCTCTTCTACTTTCTCTCTCTGAGAAGTTGGTTGCTAGACAGGCATGATGGTTTGCACCTGTTCCCAGTACTGGGGAGACTGAGGCAGGAGAATTGCTGTGAGTTCAAGGCCAGGATTTGATCCCGTGCCCTGGAGGAGGGGGAAGAGAAGGGTTGTCTTAACTAACAGTGTAATTCAGAGGTTGAGTGCCTCACATGTGTGAACAACAGCAACACAAAACTATCATCATTCTGGGTGAAAGTTTTTAATTTGTCTCGTCAATGTAAAATGTGGCCATTTGAAGCCAGGCATGGAGGTTCTTGTCTCTAACCCCAGTGTTCAGGAGGTTGTAGAGAGAGGACTGTCATGAGTTTCAGGCCAGCATGGTTTACACAGTGAGTTCCAGGCCAGTCTGAGTTATATTGTGAGATTGGGTCTCCAAATAAAGGAAAGGAGGGAGGGGGAAAAAGAAACCTGGTGTTTACTTTTACAGCTTTTAAATGCAGTGTACTAATTAATTAATGCAAACATTTTAGCATGATAGTGTTATCTCCACTATATTATGAAATGCCTTTTTCCATATCCGTGCTGCATTTGCATTTATAATTATTTACATATGAAGTCCCAGACACGAGATACTTCTTCCACAAAGCTTCCTAATCTCCATGTCACAGATGGAAAGTTACATGTGCCCTTGCTCTGATCCATTTCCTCCTTCCGTCCACGCCTAAGGGCACAGCATTGTTACTTATGTGAATAGATCACATCCTCTACTAACTGAGATTCTTATTGTATGATCGGCTTCTGTCCTACCCAGGGCAGGTAAAAATCATACCCTCCTATCAGTGCTTCCCAAAACTAAGGTTCATCACCCAATAATACCACCATTGTCTGGGAGTTCCGTAGACATGTAAACTTTCAGGCTCTGCTGGATTCCAACTCCAAGACTCTGCAAACAGGTTCCTGGGATCTTCATACCCTCCAGCTGAGCAGGATGCAAACTAAACGTTGAGACTACTGTGTTGCACAGAGTAACTTCCCCCATCCGCCATCTGCATCATGAATTCAGCTATGTAACAGCTTAGCTCCACCAAGAAGAAAATGTTCCTTGGGCAGCTCTGTCGGTTTCTCCTGTGATCCAAGCATCAGCTTACAGATGTAGGTCATGATCATTTCTAGAGAAGAGTTTGCAATGAGACGAATGGAAGGGGTACCTGAACGCTGTGGGGAGATAATTTATAGTAGTGTCATTATGGAATGCCAGGATTCCTGGGATGCTAGCCAGAATGGAGGTAATTATTTTCTAAAAGTCACTAGAGCCTAGACTCTAGAGCCTGAAATAAATCCACTTATACTGCAAGGTGACACTGGAGAGTTCTCAAGTATGATTTACTTTTGAAAAGGTGGATAAGTTTATTAGAAAGGATAATGGCCACGAAGACATTAAAGGTCTATTTTCGTTTGCTGCCAATGTATGAGCAGTACTAGCTAAAGTCAAACGTGTCTAAATGGCGCTGAATTGCAGCAAGCACTATAACTCAGAGACAAATAGCTTATTTTATGACAAGAATGTACCTTGTGGCTTTAAAATATTTGCTGTAACAAAACATACTGAAAAAGTTCTGCCCCATGGCCTCTATGTTGCATTATAAAACAAGTAGGGTTTACTTAATACCCAGAGAAAGTTTAAATAAACCAGAATGAGAACATTCTGGAGAGAGCTGTAAGTACATAATTACTAGAACTAATGTCTAAGAAGGGCAACAGTACAGGGTTTTGAGACTGGCTACTTTAGCCACAGAAACCACACCCACACAGTAATTAAGAGTAAGGAAATCATTAGCACAAGCCAGTCATGCTGGGGAGAATGGTGTACTCTTGTCTCCAAGGAAACAGAGGAAGGAGGAATATAGTGAGAATTCTGGAATTTTTATTTCCTTAAAACACACCCAGAGAGAGAGAGAGAGAGAGGGAGAGAGAGAGAGAAATATTATAAGAATGTGCCTTCATTTTAATACCGGGTGTGGTGGGGTGGGGCCACTTTGAAGCAGCTGACTGACTATGATTTGCCTCGTGCTCTAGCAGAAGCATGGTTTTGCCAGCTGCAGATAATTTCTGTGATTGTGTGACATTTGGAATTCTGGGAACTTTTCAGAGGCACCCAAGAAGCAGGGTTGGTGGTTGGTGATTGTTCAGGAAGGTTGGTTGTAGTTTCTTACTAGTCATGCTCAAAGAAGAAACAAGAGAAAACTGAATTCAGGGATCTCTTTCTCTGTCTGTCTGTCCCCTCTACCCTTCTTTTTCTCCTGTCTAGGGATAGGGAGTGAAGCTGGGGTTTAAATAGGTGGGGAAAAGAAGAATACACAATGTAGCAAAGACCAGCTACTGAGGGAACCTGGGAATAGGCACGTGACAGTACAGAGGATGGCAGTGCACTTTTGTTGTGCTTAATTTGCTCGGGCCACGGGTTCCACTGACAATCTGCCGAAAGCTGTGACTTTCTTCAAACAAACGTGCGTAAGGATAAACATTCTACATGTCATTCTGGGAAGTTGGGTGACCTCTAAATAAATTGCAGATAAAGGGTTGCCTAGTGACTGAAAAGATTTGGCCAAGAGTGGACCCGAAGCACATACCAAGAAAGCTGTTTGGGTTTTGTGTTTTTTTATCCCCACACACAAAAATGCTTTTCTGGCAAAGCGGAATTCTAGTTGTTGGAAGCTTAGAGATATCAAACAGAGATGTATCCTACAGCAAGAAGAGAATGGATTGATCCTGAAGGGAATGGTGCTTGGCTGTTGTACTTTTGAGTACCCTTTGCCTCGAGTATGAGAGTTTTGTGATTGTATGTGTGTGGGTGGGTATGCATGTTGCAGTGAGAATAGTCTCTCTTTCTGCCATTTGGGTTCCTGAGCTTGAGTTTGGGTTGCCAGGCGTGGCTGCAAGGGTTCACGGGTGCTGAGCTGTCTCATAGGCCTAGGCTTGATTTTTAAGTGCAGCATTGGACAGTTCCTATTTGTCATGCCTGTCTTAGAGATGCAGTTGCTCTTTGGCTAGAAAGTGTAGAGATG